TACAGAATATGGGGATTGTTTTAAAGGAGAGTGGGTGAGGGTGTGTTGGAGCCAGCTCTAACTAGCTCTCAGATATTTATTTTTGTTCTGTCGTTTTCAGTCATGTCTGACTCTTCACAAACCCATTTGAAGTTTTCTTGGCAAAGGTACTGGAGTTTTTGTTGTTTTCTTCTCCAGCTTATTTGACAGGATGAGGGAACTGAGGCACACAGGGTTAAATGACTTGCCTAGGTCCCAGCCAATAAGTTTCTGAGGCCAGATTTGAACTCAGGAAGATGAGTCTTCCTGACTGCAGGCCTGGCACTTTATCTGCTTCACCACCTAGCTGCTCCTAATTAGGTCAATTAGGGAGGACTAAAAGGATTGCCTGGGTGCAGGTTCCATTTGAGATCAGATAACATGTATGTATGTATGTATGTATGTATGTATGTATGTATGTATGTATGTATGTATGTATGTAGTGTATCCAGAAGGTGGGGTTTCATGACTTCCTTCAGCTCCTTTCAGCACCATGGGAGTAGGAATGGAAAAAGCAGATGAGGTGGGGGAGGGAGGAGGGAGAACAATCCAAGATTTGAGTTTGGCAAGGTATGAGTTTCAGTAGGACAATGTAGACCTTGAAGGTCCCTCCCATCTCTCAGTCTGTCATCTGTAACGTTGAGCTTGCTTAACTGTAGAACTGAGATCAGGAAGAAAGAAAAGTAAAGCCAAATCAAGGTGATGGCCTGGGAGGGCTACTCCTGAAGGCATGGGGAGACTGAATGTCAGGGTGAGGAAAAAGAACAGACTTAAGAGGAGTGAGGCTTAAGGAGAGAGAGAATGGTAGAAAGTTGAGTTCAGATAAGGGAATTCCAGAATTTTTCATCATTTAAATGGAAAAATTATAGATGTGTGATTGTGTGCAGTGAAGGAGTAGAGCATGGGAGATGAGAATGAGGAACTGGGAGGCTTTGATATTTGAGAGAACGTCATCAACTACATTAAGGAGTTGGACAGTGAGCTGGGCACTGAAAAGGCTGACCTGGGATTCGGTGTTTCCTGGGATGAGCCAGGCTCCATGACTACTAGAAGATGGAAGGAACACAATAGGAAAAGTTCTGAAATGAAGAGAATTTTGTTAATGATAAAACAAGGATTCCAGAGGGCACAGTGGAAGTAGCGAGTAGAGCAAATCTGGAACACAAAAGCAGTAAGGTTGAGGTAAATAAGAATGAAAGAACAGAAAATGGCAACTGGAGAAGAGGAATAGGTTACCCTTAAGTAGCCTGGATACGGTATCCTTGGGCTTGGAAGAGTAAGGGGTGGTGAAAGGGTTTTTAGCTATGGGTATGGTAGGGGTTGTTCCCTCTCAGTCTGCAGATGAGTGGACCACTCAATACCTGAGCTACACCGTATGAAATCTGGGCTGTACTTTGTGCTAATATCAAAGTCTGTTTCTAGAGTGGGGAGGTAAAATCTTGTCTTCCCATAGTCTTGTCCTCCATTCCACTGTCTCTATCTCATTTCTCCTTCAAATATGATAGCACAGCTTACCTTTTCACTCCCCCACCTTCAGCTTCCTTTGTATGTGTTGCCTTCCCCCATTGTAATGTAAACTCCTTGAAAGCAGGGGCTCCCTTTCTTTTTGTTTGTATTTGTACCCCCAGCTGTAAGCACAGTGCCTGGCACACAGTAAGTCTTTAATATATGCTTGTGGATTTGCTGTCATACGTAGATGTGCACTTTCTCTACATTGTCAGTGAGTTGGATAGATGGATGTAGTGATGTTTGTTTACCTTATGGTTGACACCTCGCTGGGAGGGATGACTAACTACAGAATTTATTGTTGTTGTTGTGAGTTGTGTCTAACTCTCTGTGACCCCATTTTGGGGTTTCTTGGCAGAAATGCTGGAGTAGTTTGCCACTTCCTTCTCCAGCTCATTTTATAGATGAGGTAATTCATCTGTCAAGGTTAAGGGTTAAGTGACTTGTCCACGGTCCATGGCTAGTGTCTGAGACCAGATTTGAACTCAAGAAGATGAGTTTTCCTGATTCCAAGCCCAGTGCTCTATCCACTGAGTCACCAAAAATATCTTTTTACCTAGACCAATAGGGTGAATCCAGTAAGATGAAAATGAATGGGGATAAATGAAAAAATCCTGCACTCTGGTTAAAAAAAATCAATTTCATTAGTATAATATGAAGGTTAGACAACAGTTTTCATGGAAGAAGATAAGGGAATTTTAGTGATTTGCAAGCTCTCAGTAAGTGCTATGACATGCCATCCAAAAACAGCTAACAGTCTTCAGCTGCCTTAATAGAGATAATCTGTACATAATGAGATGATCCTTTGTATCTGTCCAGGTTAGATCACATCTAGGGTATTGTATTCAGTTCTGGATATCACATGCTAGGGTAGGATATTGACAAACTGACATCCAGAGGGGGACCAAGATGTTAAGAGGAATGGAAACTATGAATTTGTTGAAACAATGGATGATGTTTAACCCATTGAAAAAAAGATTTAAGGGGGACATGACGATGGTTGTCATCAAGTGATTGAAGGACTGTCATGTGGAAGAGGGATCATTTTATTCTGCTTGGCCACAGAGGGAAGAACAGGAAATAATTGTTGGACACTTTGGAGAGGAGGATTATCTTGTACATAAGGCAAACAGTTCTCAATTCCAGCTGCGCCAAAGTGGGATGGGCTGACTCAAGATGTAGTGAGTTCCTATTATAGAATTCTTTTAATAAACAATGGATGACTTGGATTTCTTAAAGAAAGACAATTCTGCTCAAGCGTGAATTAGAATAAGTAATCTCTGGAATCACGATTCAGATTCTGTGATTCTGTGTCCTCTCCCCTCCTCCTGGATCAGACTTGGAGTTCCCTAATAACAGGTGAAACACCTATTCAGGTATGAATTAGGACTAAGTGACCTCTGATATCCCAACTCAGATTCCGTAATTCTTTCTTCCTTTCATCAGACTAGGAGCTTTCTAAAGGGGGGAACAGTGTTTCCTGTGGTGCTCTCCGCAACATCCAGAACCCCACCCCCAACAAAGGACTGATCCCGATCAGCTTGGGTGGGGGGAAAGGAAAAGGCAGGAATAGAAGATTCTTCTCTGAAACAGACTGGAGGTGTACTGCTTAGGGGTACATTCACAGATTGTGGGTCCCTTTGCGCCTAGGATTATTCCTCCTGACTTCATGGGAAGGAGCCTGGTTGATTTGGCCTCTTCTGTTTCTTTAGTGTGGGGCAGGATGTGGTGGGGACGCCCATGCAGACGCCCCCTAGGCTGGAGGCTGCAGGGAGCTAGCGGGATGTGGAGACGAGTTAAAAGGGAAGGCGCCAGAAAAGAAGGGAGAGGAAAACCCAAGCCAGGAGTGCGGGAAGGGAGAGAGGGAGGAGAGGCCAGAAGGAGAGAGGAAGGAGGGAAGCAATACGGGGACAGAGGGAGGCGGGGAGGTCGCACGGTATGGAAACAGCAGCTATTTCCGTCGCTTCCACCTCGGTTGTGGTCTTGGCCAGAGCTTCCAGCTTTCTAAACCCATCCTGGGCGGCCGAGCCTTCGGCCAGTCCTCTTTGCCCTCTGCCACCAGGGCGCTGCCCCCGGCCAACCGCACCTCGCCGGGGCAGGAAAAGACAAAGCTGGGCCGGCTGTAGCAGAGTCGGCGCCGCTCTGTGATTACCGCAGCCCGCTGCTGGCCCCTTCCCGCCCACGCCCTGGGCGCTGAGGCTGGCAGCCGGGGGCAGGCCGGGCAAGGGTCAAGGATGCAGACGAGGGCATAAGTCTCTGTGCCCACGAAACCGGCAGGGGGTGAGGGGAAGGGTGTGCAAATCAGAGAAGCTAAAGGCGGAGGGTCTCCTCTCCACCTCCAAGTGTCCAGTCTGTCATATCAGTCCCTTAATTGAAAGGGGACGGATTCCCCAGATGCAAAAAAATGGGAAGTAGGGGCTCTGTACCCCAGGAATCTCATACCTCCCTCCGGAGGAAGGAGGCAAAAGGAAAGAAGAGAAGGCATGAAGAGAAAGAAAAGAAAGAGTAGGGAGAAGGAGAGAGAGAAAGAAGAGAGGGGAGGCGGAGCTTTATCTGCTTTCCCCCTCCCGCTCCTTCCAACCCCAGAAGAGATGGAGAGGGGAGGTCCAAGCTGGGAAAGGTGAATGAAGCCTGGGAGGCAGAGATGGGAACCAATCAGAAAAGGGAGGATGGGACCAGTGATGAAATTCCCCAGGAAAATGGAAATGCAAGAAATAAGACTTTAGTTGACAAGTAAAAAATGTCCTTACTGAACAATGTAAATGAGGGGAGGAAGAGAAAGAAGGAAAAAGAAAGAGAGAGGGAGAAATGGATGAAGGGAGAAACAAGAGGAAGAGAGTGAGCAATAAAAGGAGAGAGAAATAAAGACAGGAAGGAAAAATGAAAAAAAATAGGGGGGAGAGAGGGAGAAGAAGTAAAAGATGGGGCAACCAGAATTCCTTGGCATGTGATGTGTGTCTTAAAACCCTCCAGAGAGACTCTTAGAAAGGGGCTTGGATCTGATCCACAACTGAGGCATTTTGAGTTTTTCACTGGCAGTGGGGTCTCTTTTTTTTCTGCTTGTACTACTCTTTATGGGTATAGGAGAGCCATCGGCCTTTGGAGCTTTGTATTCTGAATGCAGTGAGCTCAGGAGGCAGAAAGCTTTTTTAAAAAGGTTGCCACCTAGATCTTTTAAGGTCTGATACACTTAGGAAATGCTTTAGGAAAGCAAACATACTCCCATTAGAACCATAGTATGGAGAAGGAAACTGAGTCACCTGTCCCTTCCCTTGACAATTGACTTTAATGGGTTCATAATCCATAGCTCAGCCTATCCATTTCTTTCCACGAATCACTCATAGAGTATCAACCTAAATTATTTTTTTCCTCCTAGCAATTCACTAGTAGGCAATCTGTGATTATGCCCACATGGACCCAAAGTCATGTTACATCAAAGGCTGGCCTTTGTCCCCAGTACTCTTTGAGCCACTTACCTTTGGCATCTGCCTCATTGCAACATCAAGCTAAGCCACATAGGGCTGAGTCAGCAACTTCCCCATCAGACTGGGAGCTCCCTGAGGATGGATGTAGGGGCTTTCTCTTCTGAAGAGAAGGAACAGTGTTGGAAAAGCCTGAGAAAATGTATTCACTGATGGAGAGCGGACTAGAACCAGGAGAACAATTCATACAGTAACACCATTGTTAAGACCAATAACTTTGAATGAATCTTAAGAACCCCGATCAACATAGTGACCAACCCTGATTTCAGAGGACTCACAATGAAACATGCTACCCATCTCCTCAGAGAGGGGTGAGGGACTCGGGGTGAAGAACAAGACAGAGGTTTTTGGACATGCCCAGTGCTAAAATTTGTTTTGCTTGACTGCATATTTGTTATAAGGGTTCTGTTTTTCTTTCTTTTTTATTTTTTCAAGAGAAGGAGGAAGTGGGAAGGAGAGAAAACAAATGCTTTTTAAATGAAAACAAATTCATTCCTTAAGAAAGGAGAGGAGAAAAGACACGGAGGTTGGTAGGTAACAGCCCTGGGGATCTGGATAGGCTGATAAATCTGGAACAAGTGAAGGCCAAAGGAGAGGACATCACTGAGTGAAGGTGGGGAGGGAGAGACCCTGGAAGAGGCAGTTTGGAGCAAGGACCTTACCTGCCCCTCCTCCCAGCCCAGTATGTTGGAAGCATGAGATACAACACAGCCAGTACTGGTGAGGTTGCCTAGGGATGCATTGTCTTCAGGAGAGAGCCAGGTTGCCATGACTGCAAGGAAATTGAAAGAGCGTGAGCAGAATGCAGTTTCTTATTTTCAGAGCAAATTCTAGACTCGTATTTCATTGGTCTTCCTCAATCAATATATTAAACATTCTTTACACTGTCCACATCAGTCTGGGGACTCTCCAGGGTGTCGCTTCTCAGATTCTGAGCTTGATGGAGGCACACACCATACTACTACTGCTTAGACAGATTTTTTTTCCCCCTGAAGGATGAGCTCTTTGTCTCCCCAGATTATGTGTGTTTCAATAAAGGCTCCATGAATGTGACCTCCTTAGCTAAGGAAGGAAAGCTTAAGCTAGAAAAGGCTGCTGTTTCCTTCCCAGGCTATTGGTCAGAGAAGAAGGCTAATGACTAATGGAAAAGATAATTAGCCTGGTTGATGACAAGGACCCTTCTGACCTTCTGTTGCTAGTCTGAAAGGAGTGAGGAGCCAAGCACTTCCCCAAGCTTTCCTGGTTCCCCCTAGCAATAACACACAGGGGACACGGTTAGCTTGCAGTAGGGGCACAGTCTCTATCAGAAACATGAATGTAGCAGAATGCTTTGTTAGGGCACAGAACTCATGCTTCATTGACAATCTTCTCTACCCAGTGGGCTCTCTGGAACTGAAGAGAATGGGATCCTCTTCTCACAAACTCCTTATGACTAGTTTCTCAGGTGTTTTGTCCCATCCTCTGCACTAACCCCGCAGGGCATCTAGCTGTCTGAGGTTGACCTTTAGGAACTAACACCCAACAACATAGGGATGGAAAAAAGAGTTGGATCTCTGATTTCACTAGGATAGGGAACTCCCAGGCCAGGGAACTCCCTGTACTATCTTCTAGACTCATTGGTCATTGTGCCCTCCCTCCCAAAATCTTCCAGCTAAACAAAGCAGCCTTCTTTCTCTTCCTCACTCTTTGTTTTTGTTTTTGTTTTTAATTTTTTTAAAAAATTAATTTATTTTGAATTATCAACAATCACTTCCATAAGCTTTTGAGTTTTAAATTTTCCTCCCCCTCCCTTCCCACCTCCCTCCCCAAGATGGCAGGCTATACATATACATTCCTATTAAACATATTTTCACATTAGTGATGTTGTAAGTAAGAATTACAACTAATATCTTCCTCACTCTTGACACCCCACCTCAATTCAATAAACATTTATTGAGTGCACCAGCCACCTGCTAAGCACCAGGGATATGAAAAGAGGCAAAAGACCTCAAGGAACTTACAATCTAATGGGAGGGACAACATGAAACAGATACATCCAAAGTCCCCCATGCTTAGGATGCTCTTTCCCTGCCTCTGCCTCCCAGAGTCCCTCTCTTCTTTGAAGATGCTGCTTAGGCGCCACCTTCTGTGTGAAGCTTTCTCGCTCCCACCAACTGCTGGTGTCCTCTCTCCTGAAGCTACCTGGTATTTAATTAGTTTGTTTACATTTGTATTTATTCACTTTATATTAATGCTGTACGTATTTTTATAAGTACTTGTCTCTCTCAGTAGAATGTGAGCTCCTTTCACGTAAGGATTGTTTCATCCTTTATAATACAAAGTTTATACTTGTATCCCTAACACCTAGTGTATAGTACCTAGTACATAGTAGGTGCTTCATAAGTACTTGTTGATTGATTGCTAACAGGGAGTTGCCTAGAGCAATGAGAAGTTAAATGACTTGACCAGGATCATGCAACCACTGTGGGTTACTAGGCAGGGCTTGAATCTGGGTCTATCCATTGTGCTACATAGCATTATCACCATGCGCGTCTACATACCCATCATCTTACCCACATCAGGCAAATATCTTATTTCTTCTGTCTGAGCTGGCACAAAAAGATGCCGCTGTAACAAAAAGAGGAACCAGGTGAGGCAGATGTAACAAAAGGAGCTCTCTTTTTTGAATTCTAAAGATAAACTGGCATCTGACTCAATTATTGTATTCCTTTCCTGATCTCCACATTAGTCAGTACCTATCTTGTTTGTATCTAGCTGTTTGCATGTTATCTCCCCCATTAGAATGTGAGTTCCTTAAGACCAGGGACCGTATTTTGCCTTTTTCTGTGTCTGAACTCTCAGCACAGTGCCTGGCACATAGTAGGCACTTAATAAATGCTTGTTGACTGACTCTGGGTGAGGAAAAAAACTTTATTTGGATGTGATAAGTTTTTTAAAAACATGAGCCCATTAGGGGACAAAGAAGAGATAATATATAGTTATTATTCATTAGGAAATTGAAGGGAAGATGAAAAAGGCTGCTATTAATTGGGAAGCTTATAAGCTGGTTGAAGGTGAGCTGGGGATTTTTCATTTGGCTTGGACCAGAGTATCCAAGTGAATCACAAATACACTATGTAGTGGGGGTTGTTCTGGTGGGGAAGGTGCCATTCTCGTTTGGGGGACAGATATAATACATGCAGCTAAAGGCTACTGGCTGAGAGAATCATGGGTCAAACTAGGAGGAACTGTAAGCCAGAGCGTAGTTGAGGAATTTAGGATACCACCTCATCTAGTCTGGATAGAATTATAATGTTTTAGAGTTTGGAGGTACCCTTTGAAATCATCTATCAAAGGTTCTTAATTTGGGGCTCATGGACTTATTTTTTAAGTATTTTGATAACTATATTTCAATATAATTAGTTTCCTTTGTAATCATGTATTTTGTCTTATGCATCCAAAAACATTATTCCAAATAGGCATCCATTGTCTCCAGAGGACCACCAAAGGGAATTATGATACAAAAAAAGGTTGAGAAGCTCTACTCTAGTCCAACACTCTTATGTTACAGATGAGGAGACTGAGGCCCATACAGGTTCATGGCTTATAAAGTTCACACAGTTTTTAGTAAGTAGGAGAATTGTGCCTCTTGAATCCAGGTCTTCAAACTGCAAATCTGGTGCTCTTTCTACTATATCAAAGTAGTTTTATAGATCCTGTCACTTACCTGAACTCTTATTCTTGATGTTTCTGTTACTATTCCCCTGCTTGTGAATAAAGGAAACATTTTATTTTGTTCTGGGGGAAGGGGTGGTCACAGGTGTGAGAAAGGAAAAATAACTAGATACAAGGAGCACAATCCTGGATATTGGGTGCTAGAACTAGGTGGCAAGAAAACAGCAGGAGGAGGTGGAGGTGGAGGAGGAGAAGAAGGAGGAGGAGGAGAAGAAGGAGGAGGAGAAAGAGGAGGAGGAGGAAAAGAAGAAGAAGAAGAAGAAGAAGAAGAAGGAGGAGGAGGAGGAGGAGGAGAGGAGGAGGAGAGGAGGAGAGGAGGAGGAGGAGGAGGAGGAGGAGGAGGAGGAGGAGAGGAGGAAGGAGGAGGAGGAGGAGAGAGGAGGAGGAGGAGAAGGAGAAGGAGAAGGAGAAGGAGAAGGAGAAGGAGAAGGAGAAGGAGAAGGAGAAGGAGAAGGAGAAGAAGGAGGAGGAGGAGAAGGAGGAAGAGGAGGAGGAGGAGGAGAAGAAGAAGGAGGAGGAAGAGGAGGAGGAGGAAAAGAAGAAGAAGGAGGAGGAGGAGGAGGAGAAGAAGAAGAACAACAACAACGCAGTAATAGGGGATTATAATAATATGTAATTATTAATGTAATAAGTAATAATAATGTAATAAGTTGTAATGTGGTAACTCTCTGAGCCTGGATAACCAAGAAGGCTCAGAGCCAAGATCAGAGTGTGCCTCTAGTTGGGGTTTGGAGATAAGGGAAGTTTAGGAAGTACTAAGAGCAGAGAGCCATGAACAAAAGTCTAGGTCGACAAAATAATTTACAGTAGAATGTAAGCTTCTTGAGGGCAGGGATAAATTCACTTTTGTCTTTGTGTGGCACAGAGTAAGGTGCTTAATTTTTAAGAAAATCTTGTTGAAAAAGCTGAAGTCTCCAAGAAACTAATTCAGTCAATAAGACCTTTAGTGAAGCGCCTCCCCACCTTAAAGTGTTTGCTGTATCTCATTTTCCTCATCTGTAAAATAAGCAGCGAAGGAAATGGCAAACCACTCCAGTATCTTTGCCAAGAAAACCCCAAATGGGGTCATGAAGAGTCGGATATGATTGAAATGACTGAACAACAATGTGCTGTGGTGGCATACAGCTTCTACCCTTAGGGAGTTTATAATCTCCATGGGGTCCATTCTTCACAGCCTCTTCCCTACAACCTGTTATCCAAGACCAACTTTTCTTGGACTCCCCTTCTTCTTTCTCAATAATCCCAATCCCTTTTGCCCAAATGTCCTTATTCATTGACCTTTTTTTTCTTCCGGTGTTGTGTGATGCTGGGCAAATCAGCTAGCATGTCTGGGTCTTGCTTTTCTTCCCCTTCCCCCCCCCATCAAATGATGGAGTTGGATAAGATAAGCCAT